TGAAGGCCTTTTGGGAGTTGCTGTGTGAGGAGGGGTGAGACTGGGGGAGCAACAGGTGCACACAACTCGACCTCCACAGAATATGGAGGTGGAAAACTTTCTTTTGGGATACCAAATCACTCCTTTCTGGGTTCTCCCCCATCCCTTGCTTCTTCTCTCCTACAGCAGGATGATACAACTTTCAGGATCCTCCCTTCCACAGAACCACTCTCGGGACACTGACATATATTTATTCACAGTCAGGAGTGATAGATATTAAAAGATAAAAATCTCAATTCCTTTCTGGAATGTGTGCATTTTAATGATGTTCAGAGTCTTATGTTATCATAGTGGAGATGTAGGCACCCTCTTGCACATTTGAAGTGGTGGAAAGATGGCTTCTGTTTGTCTTCTTCCCGACACCACCCCCTGCATCTATCCCTTGTGTCCCAGGCCTCAAATGGGGGTAGAGGGAGTGCATAGTCTAGAATGCAGAAGTCAGCTGCAGACTTGGAACAGTTAAACAGCAGCTTTAGGATTCCAAAGCAAGAGAGTTATGGGGTGGAGACAGGCAGGGAGGAAGCAATGAGAGACATCACTCACCCATCCAGGCTGGGCTGGGTACATCACAGAAAGGTGATAGGGTCCTTAGAGAATATCTATAGCAATGTAGGAAGACCATCCACAGCATCCCTGACCAGTAACCACCAGCCTCTGATATATTGTCTCCGGCAAGGGGGCGCTCACTACCCGTCAGAGAGGCTGTCTACCACGCACCAGGTAGAGCCTGACTAGGTAGAGGAGAAAAGACTGACCCCTAATACGTCGGTAGATCAGGAACACCACATTCCAGCCTCCATTTGATATACAAGGTTGGAATGAAATCTCCCCTTCAGACCCACTGTCCTTTTTCCAGATTACTTGAAGATGGGGCTGAAACCTCTTCCAATTCATAAGCTTTACTCCTAACTGATCCCTGTCATCCCCCATCTGAGAATTGTCAAGTATTAATCGATCCACTACCCTGCTCCTGAAAGAGGCTAAGTGCCCTGGAGCATGTGAGAAGTACAGTCCTTGGCTTTGGAAAGTTCATAACCCATGTGGGTCTGGAGGAAAAACAGCATGTAGGACATTGAGAATGATTTCAAACAGGGCAAGGAGATCATAGGAAGGCTAGAGGATGGGATCTGGATGTCAGCTAAGTAAAATTAAAGAAAAAAAAGTAAGATCCTTTAGTGGGAAGCTGCAAACACGGGAGAGAGCTCACTCCTCCCAATAACACCGCCTCCATCTTGCTTCTGAACAGGACAGTGTTCATCTGATCCACTTCTCATTAACATCTCCAAAGTTGTCAAGCTTCGTTAACTCTTTCTCTCATGGTTGGACCCAGCTTATCTCAATACTACCTCGGTGTTTTAAAACAGAGTTTGTCCCTACTGCCTCATGAACTGAGGTCAGGGAGTCCAGTTTTCTTTTCTTATGGTCCTGTCCATGCAACAAAGGAAACCCAGGAAATGGCTCAGGGTTCCATATTTAGAAAATGAAAAATGCCCTGGTACTTCTGTGCCCTGAGTGGAGGGATAACAGAAAACAAGAGAGGAAATACTAATGCTGATGGTGGCACTGAAACCACCAATGGGATTTGATGCAATAATCTGACAAGAGAGAATCTTAATAACATAATGAACATCCCTGGGGGGTAAGGAACACCAGGAGTAAAAAGCCGGAAATGCCTGAGCAGTTCCTTTGGCGGTTTCCATATCACTATCCTTTCTCCTATTGTCTTCTGCATTATCAGTTTTTCAGTCTCTACTGGATTATTACCGCCCACACAGAAACATGTCATTATGTCTGCCATTAAAACTCTCTTGACCCCATGTTTCTCTAAGTACTGACCCATTTCTTTGTTCAACTCTGTACTCTATTCTCTTTCAAATTCCTCTCATCACTTTCTCTCTTAAACTCCAGTCTACCTTCTATAAACACCTCTCAATCAAAACTCTCTTGCCATGATCTCTAATGACCTCCACGTTGTTGTATCCACCCATCAATTCCCAATGCTTGCCTTATCTGCAGCATCTGTCCACCTCCCCTGACTGCCCACCTCCCAGGACTGCACATTTTCTCTACATGTTGAGTGCTCTGAGGCACCTCATTGATCCTTTTTACCAAAACTCACCCTGCTGCTGATATAACCAGGCCCCTGACTTCCAACACTGTTATGAGCTCAGTGACTCCCAAGTTTGTCACTCCAGTCTGGATTTTGCTCTTGATTTCTAGACACATGTCTCCCACTGCCTCTGTAATAATCTTCACTTGAATGTCTACAAACTCCCTCAAATGCAAGATGTCCCAAACTGAACACTTAATTTTTCCCACCCCACTGCTATTCTACCCACAACCTTTCCTATCCCAGTTATTCAAGTGAAAAAATCATGGAGTTGACCTTGACTCCTCTTTTTCTGTCACACCCACATCTAATCTGCCAGCAGATTCTATTGGCTCTACTTTCAAAACATATCTAAATTCCAGATATTCCTATTCATCACCTCTGCTGTCACCACCCAAGCCAAGTTGAGGCTTTACTACCTCCTTCCTTGAGTGTTCTCACAGCCTCCCTGCCTTTTTGGAGGTATTCTCTTTTTTTAATTTATTTATTTAAATTCAAGTTATTTAACATGCAGTATAGTATTGGTTTCAGGAGTAGAACCCAGTGATTCATCACTTACATAAAACCATCACTTTCTGCCAAGTCTTCACTCTCACTTTCTCAAGAAGGCCCACCTGGCCATGCTATTTAACCCTGCAACCTTCCGCCCTTAGCATCACACCCAACCCTCTTGCTCTCCTCTACATACTTTCATAGCATCAACATACTGTATCATGTACTTATCTTCATGTTGTGCATGCATATCTCTTCCTCTCCTGAAATATAAGCTCCACATGGACAGGAATCTTTGTCTGTTTCATTCTCAAATGTATCACAAGAACCCAGGGCAGTGCCTGGCACATAGATGTTCAATAAATGAGTAAACTTCCCTTTTCCCATACACAGCATGCTCTACCTACTTCTTCCAGGTAAGGTCTCTATGAATCTTTCTCTTTGGGATAACAAATATCTGCATTTCTGACAAATATTTATTTATAAAAGATATAGTACTTGCAATTTATGTACTGCTTACCAGTGCTACTATCCACCTGTAAAACGCTCACAGTATACCAGGCAAGAATCTTAACAAGGACCATCTTTTTACATTTTTCCAATAGTTCCGTAAGGTAGTATGATAAAATGCATAGCTGGATCCAGTATTTCACCCCCTTCCCACCTGCAGCACCCATACCATTGGGTAGCCCTTCTGATAAACATGGTGTATTTCCTCTCCCCTAAACTTAGAGTGTGGCCATGTGACTTGTGTTGGCCAATGATATATGAGCAAAAATGACAGCATCAAGTTCCAAATCTAGGTTCTAAAAAAGGCCCTGGCCTTGCATGTTTCCTCTTGTCATTTCTGTCATCCCAGTGAGAATACACCTAGGCTGGCCCGCTGGTATTACAGAAATACAAGAGACATGAGCCACCTGAGTGAAACCCAGACTAGATCAGACCCTTGGACACATAACCAGTAAACATGGTTGTTGCTTTTAAACCTCTGAGCTTTGGGGTAGTTTGTCACACAGTAATAGTTAAGTGATAGAAGTATTCCCACATTTCTCATTTTAGACATGAGGAAAATGAGGTTTAACGAAGGTAAATAACCCACCCAAGATCTCATGGCTGGTGAGCAGTGAAGCCAGGTTCTCCCTGAGGCCTTCTGATTCTAGAGCCTGTGCGTTAACCACTAGGCAACATCACCAACCCCTTTCTTGCCTTCCCTGTTCTTCTGGGCCGCACACCACTTGGACATACTCTGAATTCCTCTCCGAATATATTTACCAATTCATTCATTCATTCATTCATTCATTCACACTTCAAAACAATAAAGTAAAAGTTGATTGAGCATCACATTAACTTGAAAGGTGCTGGAAATGCTGAAATAGAACTCAAGCAATGTAAAATAGGAATGTATCAAAAAGGGAGAAAACACACAAAGACTGTAGCTGGAGAGAGATGTGCCCAAATGAAACTGAGAACAATAACAATGAGAGTGTGCTAGTGACAGCTGCTGGAAATGTTCCCAGAATGTGGACCCTGCTATGGTTCGGAACGTCCAGCTTTAGGACAAGGTGCTTGAGGGAACTGGACAATTTCTATCCTGGGTGCTGTGTAGAGCACGACCCTCCCCCCCCCCCGCTTACAGATACTCCTTAACCCCCATGACCTTTCACCTCTCTCTCTTCTCAGAGTAGGATAAGAGACCTAGTATTATTAGTCACTGCCACTCAATGTTAAAAATAGACAAGCCATTTTCAGTCTTCATCAAAACAATATCATGATGAGTCACTTATTTTTCAGGATTGTGAATATCCAGAAAATATTAAAACACTCCCAAGACAGGCAGGCAGTTCTCATTGTAAGAAAATGCTATTCTTTATAAGGATTTGTGACTTGTCTGGTACCATATGGTTAATAAGTGGCATAATAAAACTGAGAACAGAGTATTTAAGGATGAGAAGAATCAACAGATAGAGAAGTAAAGCAGGATATTCTTTGACCTTGGGTGAGTTGGTAAACTTTTCTGAACTGCTGCTTCTCTATTAATTAAGTTGGAAATGATAATGCCTAGTTCATGAGCTGTGATGAAGTTTAGGTTAAGTTAGAAAATCAAGGGCCCAAAAAGATGTTTGGCATGAATCCTTAGGCAGATAGAGCATCATGCCATCCATTCAATAAATATTCGTTGAATGTCTACCGTGTGCCAGGTTCTATAATATCCTGGGAATACTGAGATACATAAAATGTATGGCTCTCCCTTCTGGAGCTCATGGTCAAGTAAGAGATGCAGACTAGTAAAACTTGCAGCTATGGCACAGTGAGCCATGTGCTTTGTTGATCTACATACAGGAGACAGGGGAACACTCACCAGTTTGCAGTTTCAAACTCACAGTCTCAAAGCTGGGGGCACTTGTCAAAACTTCAGAAGAGGTTTCAAATGATAATGCAAAGAACATATTCACCAGGATGTAGTCACCCTGTAACAAGATGGGAAAAACCCATTCCAAGCCTTTTAATAAAGCACCCCTGGAATGAAGACTTGCAGCCAAAGGGGAAATAAATAGTCTTGTCCTTTTAGAACTCAGCGAAACACACTGAATTGCATCCACTGGGACCTCTGACTGTCCTCATTCTGCATTAATCCCTCCTATGTATTGAATTCTCACTCCACACCCTCACATAATCCTCATAACCTCACTGTGAAATGAATGCTGTTATTTATCCCCTTTTCACAGAATAATGAACTGGTGTTTGGAAGTTCAGCAACAGCTTGGAATTGATAGCCAGGAGCCACTGGGCTGGGATTCAACCCAGGACCAGTGAACCAGCTTGGATCCTTCTCTCTTTCTTAGTAGACCTGGCTGGCGGGGCAAAGGAGCGTCGGCAGACATTTTGTAGGGTGCTCTTTCAGACCTAAGCCTATCTAGGATTGCTCAGTTACCAAGAACCACAAGACCAAATTGGGGTTATAAATATAAGTGTTGTGGGTGATCCACTCAGTTTGAGTTATTAGGGAAGACTTTGCAATAGAGTTAGGACTTCAGTTTGTGGCTGGGTAGAGAACACAAGCAACATCCATTCCGTAATTCTTTTGATAAAGATGCATGTTTCTGTGCACCGAGCTGCAGTTTATTTCTTATTCGTCTCCGTCTGTCCTCTTCCTTAGAACATCTTAGATGTGTAAAGAAAGAAAACAATTGAACTGCTTCTATTACTGTAATTACAGCATGACACTACAGTGATGGAAGAGGAAACCACCTCAGGGGCTGGGGAGAGGAGGGATAAATGCCAAGGGAGCCACCCGTGCCTGTAGGTCAGGTCGAAGGGCTTGCAAACGAAGAACAAAAGTTCTCATTACACAAGATTCTTATCTATTCCTTCTAGCAAGCCCAGCACGACCCCGACTTAGAAACTAGTTATTAGTTCATGATTCTATCTGCTCCTGGCCCTCCCTACAGGAATTATTCTCTCTTCTCAGACCTCCTATAATCCATTAACTATGCCTTTTTTTGAGGGATTTGGCACTTTCCACTTCATATGATGTTTACATATGTGCAAGTTACTACTTCTCCTCAACTTTAATCTCTGTGCAGGCAGGGTCTGTTTGGACGTGTCTTCGGGTCCCTCACAGCAGATGCACATGCCCACTGTATGCTTCATTAATGTTTATGGAAAGGATGAAGTTACAGTTCCAGCCCTTGAAAAAAAAAATCTTTTAATTCTACTGCTGCCTCCTTCAAGAATCCAGTACAAGAATTTTAGTACTGTTCTCGATTTCTACACAAGAATGTCTGGCCCTTGAAAATGTCTGTTCAAGTCTCAGGAAAGTGATCCGTTGATCAGTCAATGAACACCATGGGTAAGGCCAAACCCCTGCACTGCTTGCTCCCAGCTCCCACCCCTCTTCATCATCACGGTCCATTCCCTGCTGTCCCTTAGCACAGACCTCATCACTGTGTCCACCAGCATTTCAGATGCTCCTGACCTCAAACACTCCCCTCTTCCTTCCAACCCATACAATGCTTCTGGATTAACTTTCTGAAACTCTTCCTTTAATTATACTGAGGAAGAAACAAGCCTAGTGGTTGAACATGGAACTTTGGAAACAGTCAGACTGGACTCAGTCCCAGCCCTACCATGTATTAACCCTCAATCATCTCGTCTGGAAAATGATGATGATAATAGTACCTGCCTCCCAGATAGTGGTAAGCATTAAATGAAATATTTAGATTTCCCAGAGTACCAGCCTCCATATAAACTTTTAAGAGATGTTAAGACACAGAAAAAATAATACCTCTCTTCCCTAATCTGCAACTCTCAATGCTTACAAGGCACTTCCCTTTGCCTGGCATCCCTGTTCCCCCAGAATGTAAGTGCTCTGCTACCTCAAACTGGCCAGCCACCCTCTGCTTCAGCCAGGCTCACACCATTTCTCCAGAGACCTGGACTCTTCCCTCGACTGATCCAACAGCTGGCAAATATTTGGGAAACAATCTTTAGGAGCTCCATACTCAGAACATATTTTAAGATACAGTCCAGATTGATTCAAGAATTCAGTATTTTATATATGTGTGTGGGTGTATTGTTGTGGGTGTGAGTGTGTATGTGAACGCTAAGGAAAAACAAGATAAAATTAATCTGTTATTATTGTGGCTACAGCTTCTCATACATAAGAGCAAGAGAAAAATATATAAATAAAAAGATTACTAGATTTGACCACACAAAAGCTAAAAAACAGAACAAAACAAAAACCATATATCCTTGCATCTAAAAACACCCCACAAACAATGCTAGAAAGCAAAAAATCGAATAAGAAAAAAAATGATTTCACGATATATGCCAAACAAAAGATTAATAGTTTATAAAGAGCTGTTACTAAGCTATATGAGGAAAGTGTCAATAGAGAAATAGGCAATGTACTTAAAGTAGCAAGTCGCAGAAAAAGAAACGCAGAAGATCAAGCATTGAGAAAATGCTACCTCAATAATAATCAGATAAAATCAGAGTAAAGCCCACAGTTCCACTTTGGTCTCCCAAAAGGGGAAACTGCCCTTTGCAGCCAGTGACAGTCAGTACTGACAGCCCTGCAGATAAACAGGAACTCCCATTCTGGTGGGACGACATCGGTGCCTTGGAAGCCCCTGTGACAAGATGCACAAAAGGTGTTTCAAATGTGAATAACTTCTGACCAGTAATTCTACCTTCAGGAATCACTCCTACAAGAATAATGGGAGATAAGCACCAAGATTTCTGCATAAAGATTTTTATCACAGTGTTTCCTTCAATGGAAAAAAAAATGGAACAGCTTAAATTTCCAACAGGAAGATGTTGAAAGGAAGTGAGAGCATGTTCACAACTCAATGCTGTACAGCTACTCAAGATTATATTTTAGGGGCACCTGGATGGCTCAGTTGGTGTCAGACTTTGGTTCAGGTCATCATCTGATGATTAGTCAGTTCAAGCCCTGCGTCGGGCTCTGTGCTGACAGCTCAGAGCCTAGGGCCTGCTTCTGATTCTGTATCTCCCTCTCTCTCTGTCCCTCTCCTGCTGGTGCTCTGTCTCTCCTTGTCTCTCAAAAATAAATAAACATTAAACATTTTTTAAGTTTATATTTTAGAAGAATATTTAATAGAAAAATAGCCATAAAATATTGTAAGTAAAAAAGTCAGGTAGGATTCTAAATTTGTAGTATATTCCCAGAAAACTGGGAAGATACCATGGAAATGTTATACAGTTATCTCAGGAGGAATTACCAAGAATCATAATTTTTTTATCAGTTTTTGTCTGAGAGGGAAGGATGTTTGGGGGGGGGGATAATTATAAATTAAACATAGCCAAATGGACCCTCCCTAGGCTTCAAAGTCAGTTCAAAGTCCTACATCTTCCATGAAATATATTTTGACTACTCTGGACCTCACTGAACTACTCACCCTTCACACTCTTTCAACAATTATTATTCATGTTATACAATCACCCATTTGATCATGTTTCCTTCTATCTAATTATCGAAGGCTTGAAAGTATTAGTTCTTCAACAGGTTCATTCAGGAAGTACTGATAGCTGGATCTACCTTACCCACAGCAGACTGCATTTCCCAAGACAGTCTCAAGAATTTCTCCCATCCTACATGCTCTTCTTACATTGGCATTGACATTCTTCCTATGAAAAGGCAGGATCTATGTTTCCCTGTCCTTGAATCTGAGAAAGGCTGTGACTACAGCAGAAATAATGCCATGTGACTTTTGAGGCCAGGTCATAAAAGACAACAATGCTTCCACCCAGTTCTCTTGGGATGTTCTTTTTTAGAACCCTAGTGCCATTTGATGAGGAAGCCCATGGAGAGTCCATGAGTCGGTGTTCATCAGGCTAAAAGCTCTAGCTGAAGTTCCAGTCAACATCCAGCAACAGTCACCAATATACAAGTGAGAAAGTCTTCGTGATGACTCCAATCCCATCCATTATCTGCCTGCAAATACATGAGAGACCCTGAAAAAGAACTGCCCTAGCTGAGCCTAGTCAATCTCTAAACTTTGAGATATTATATTTTAAATCATCAAGTTTCAGGGTGATTTGTCACACAGCAATTGATAATCAGAACTTACTTATACTTCCTTTTTCCTCTGATGCCTCACTGACCACTCTGGAACACTTTTTTTTTTTTTTTTTTTTTTTGATGAGAGAAAAAGCACACAAGCAGGAGAGAGTGGCAGAGACAGAATCTTGAACATGTTCCATACTCAACAAGGAGCTCAACATGGAGCTTCTAATCTCAGTATCCTGGGATCATGACCCAAGCCAAAATCAAAAGTTGGGTGCTTAACTAACTAAGCCATCCAGGGACCCCCTCTCTGGAACACTTTAAATCCTAAATCCATTAGCCCTATAAAAAAAAATCCATGCATATTTGTTATATAAATGAATGGATGGATGGATGGATGGATGGTGGATGGATGAATGGGTGAATGAATGAATGAAAGTTCTAAATATCACTATATATTCCTTAGTTCCACACTTATGGATGCTAATGACTCTTCTTAAGAACCTTCTGACCTAAGAGAACCAGCATATTCTGAACTTTGCTTCCTTCTGCATACTTCCTTTCAATTACCCCTCCAATTCTCCAGCATGCAGAAAAGTTTCACTCACTAAAAAAGAAGAATTAGATCCACTGACTGGGTGGATCAGTCAGTTAAGCATCTGACTGTGGCTCAGGTCATGATCTCATGGTTCATGGACTGAAGCCATCATGCAGCAGGCTCTGGGCTGACAGCTTGGAGCCTGGAACCTGCTTCGAATTCTGTGTCTCTTTCTCTCTCTCTGCCTCTCCCCCACTCATGCTCTGTCTCTGTCTCTGTCTCTCTCTCTCTCTCTCTCTCCCTCAAAAGCAAATAAACATTAAAAAAAAAAAAAAAAAAAAAGAAGAGCTAATGTAGCAAGAGGACCAAAGAAAAAATTGATGGCTCTGAGCTCTCCCTTTTCTCAGGAGAAGCCACTTTCTGTGAAAAGATGAGCCCTCTTTAGCAACCAATATGTGTCAAGGATACTGCTATCCTCCTGCCCTCAGTCAGTAGGATGCCAGCTATAGAACCATAACCCCAAAGAGCAGACAGACCCCTTCAGTCCAATAGGCCTTCATTGCCAAAGCCCTGGTACATGGTGCTACCTATTTAGTGTGGTTGGAAAGGCAAAGTGTCTTCTCTGTGCTAATCCATCATTTCAGATGCCCTCATGGGGTAAGCATTTTCCCCTCCAGGCTCTTTCATTAAAGAGAATTACCCTGGGAAGGAAGCATGCATTCACAATGTGACAGCACTATTGCTACTTTGCCCTAACATTATGTAACGAATGGTTCCTAAGAGTTTGTCCATGGACTAGAGGGGTAATTGTGCACAAATGAAGCAGAGGTTTGTGAATGAGGACATCCACAGGGAAGAAAAAAAAATCAAAAGAAGAGAAGTCTAAGGGCTCCGAAATGGAGCTTCTCACCTTTCACAATCTCACTAAAATTGGTTGATTCTGCCAAGGGTTCTCTTTACTTGATGGTAACGGATTAAATTTGGTTCATCACTTATTTTTCTATGTTTTTGATAATCAATGAAATTGGGATTACCTGGGTGTCACACCCCCCCATTTACTAAACTTCAGAGAGGCCAAACTTATGCCTTGCTGTTGAGGCTGCCATCAATGCCATAAGCAGGAGTCATCTGGATCTCAAATTTTCTTTACCTTAATGCTGTCATTCCACCAGGTGGACCTAGTGACCGGGAAAGGTAAGGATCCCATGATTTAAGGATAGAAATAGGGATGTAGAAGGACTTCCTGCAAGCACAGCCGTACAATGGGATTGTCTCAGATTCTGAAGAATTTAATGACTGACTTTTCTCATTCCTCTTCTCTAGACAGTGTTTAGAACAGGAATAAGAGGATGATTGGCTTCTTCTTGTATTAACCAAAGATCTGAGCAGTTTTTGTGGCTACTAATACTAGTTTGAGTTTGTATCTCAATGTACACTGCTCTGGGCTCCCTAACCCACCAAAGCCAGTGCCATGTTGCAATATATTTGATCTACCAAGTATTTGGTTTAACAAACTGACCACAGACAAAAGGGATTTTCTTTTCCCTTTTCCTAGAGATTGATTTTTTTTCTCTGCCAATAATCTACTTGCCACACAAGAAACCAAGTTCAAGTCAAGGTCTGTCCCTTAAATGTACCAGCAAATGTCTAAAACTGAGCTCCCTGACATTGTCATCACCCTCCCTACTATCACCATTGTCACCATATGCCCACATTCTCCATCTTTCCTGTCACTGAACCAGGTTGGCCTCATTACCATCACCATCTCCATCATTAGTGCCAATTAATCATCACCATTAACATCATCAGAATAATGGCCTTTGTAAACCCCAACTGAGAAAGGCCCATTCCCATCGCCACAGGAATTTCCACATTAAGACTTCCAAGCCTGTGAGCTCTGGAATATACTAATGGAGAGAAACCGTGTTGGAAAAGACCCCTGGGAGAAGCTGGGAGGGAAAGCGTGCCCCAGTCGCCTCTCAAAATATCCAGCAAGCAGCCATCGGGGAGCATGTGTCCGTTCTTTGAACTCCCTCAAAGTACCTTTCATCTGTTCTAAATCCAGAATCATCTTTGTACAGGGCTTGCTGTTTCTGGATAAATCCTTGGCCCTTGTTCAGGCCCTGGACTGTGTCAGGATGTTCCACAGACCCCAGCAGGAAAGCACTGCTAAATGAGCCTTTCCAGCGGGACCCCTTTCTAGTGACACGGATTCCAAATCCCAGCCCAGAGCGTCTGCACTCAGCAGTACAAGGCAGCAAGCGACATCGAATTCTCATTTCAACGCCCATCTTCCTGGAGGAGGCCCCCACACCCACCACAAGAGAGTCCGCAGCTGATACTTCTTTCCTAGGGCACTCTATTTTCGGCTTCATATCATATCACGGACTCTCCTTCCCTGTGGAGCAAGCTGGCGAAACATTTTTTCCTTGCCTAAGCATTTGCTTTGTATCTGATTCAAATCTCTAACCTGAAAATGGGGAGAGCAAGCCAACAAGACACCAGGAAGAGGGCTCATAGACTGAATCTCAGTCCCAAGACTTGCTGTGTGAGATTGAGTTAATATCCTCCCCTCTCTGGTCCCCATCTCATCTCACATTGTCAGAGAAAGAGCCTTGCAGTCCCTGCTTCCCTGGTTGTGGCAGAAGACTAACTCTGCTTTCCTATGTGTATTACCCAAATTAAACACTTTCCTTTGGTATTTATTTTTTCAAAAACAAATAAATAAATAATTTCCTTTGTAGTGCCAACTAGCTGGGCATTCCACCACTTCACACTGCTGATGTCATCTATGATGTAATGAAGGCAACAGCCATCAACACTGCATCCCACAGGCTGTAGAGTCTTCAGGATCTCCTCAATGGTTCCAGAGAGTTCTCTGGCTAAAGATCAGTGCTGCATCTGTCAGACAATGCTGACAATGTCATCAAAAGTGGTGTTTCCACTGAGCTTAATATTTTTCTGCTTCTTTCTCTCTCTGGGGTGGTTCCTCAAGGACTTTGATGATCAGGGCAGAGGCAGGAGGTGCCACCTCAATCTGGGCCGGTCTATTTGGAACTATCAGGTCCCTGTAATCCTCAGACCTGACCAGTCACCTGCTGCCTTAGCAATGTCATCACCAACCTTTTTTGGAGACAAGCCCAGGGGACCAAGGACAGACATGACACTGACTTCCCCACAGTGCACCCCAGGTACACTACTTTAATCTCCTTGAGGTCAAACGTGGGCGGCATGGCAGAGGCAGCTGGCATAGGATAAACCCGGATACAGTATAACTAAAGAAAGTTGCAGGGTGGCCTCCTCGAGCCAAAAGCTGAGAGCTCCCCTGATATTTTTATATAGCCTCTACCTTTCACTGAATTTTCATTTAATGTGTCATGTAAGCCACAACTAACTGTGAGAAAACAGTGTGATTCTACTCCCATTTTACAGTGAGAAAACAGACTCTAAGTGGTGGATACCTCTTTCAAGGTGTTGGCTACCTGGAAAGCAGCCACTTTGGGACTGGACCCCAGATGTCCTAACTGCTAGGGCTAGGCTAGACTCCCCACACTTCCCACTCACTGCCCTGTGTGGAATGAACATGAGTAAATCACAAAACAAGCCTGAAGCCAGTGGAAAGGAGCAAGAAAACCATGAATGAGTTGTGAAACCTGAGTGGATCATGAAAAGTATCCATTTAAATCTGCCTCATGTTCCTACTGGGGACACTTTCACTGTAAAACACAGAAGGCCCACAGGCCACTCAGAGTCACAGACCCCACCTAAGACGTTGGTGCGGGAAGAGAAGAGGACTCAGAATAAGCTTAAAAACATCTCCATTTTGTAAGCAAGAAGAGTGATGCCCCACATGGCTACTTCAGGACTTGGAAGCAAACTGAACACCTGTTTCCCAAAGCTTTTCTCTCAGTACCTTACTCTCTCCTTTTATAAGGACATGACCTCTTCACAGTGGTAGACGCCCAGGCATTTCACTATGAGCCAGGAGAGTTGGAGAGTTGGCCCTTGGCCACAGCCACAGGCAGAGAAACGGAACAACCAGCCAACGAACTTGAGTCACTAGGACGAACGTTCTATGAAATCATCTCTTCAGCAGCCTGCCACGGTGCCTGAACTTTTACCACTAGGTAGCCAGTTCCATGGATTATGG